AATTTAATTTTTATATCTACTATATTTTATGTACTTGAAATTGTGTTAACTATTTTTGACACTTTTTTGTCAAAATATTATCATTTTTTAATATTTATTTATTTAGTTAGTTATTTTGGCTGTGCCAGGTCTTAGTTGTGGCAGGCAGGCTTCTTAGTTGTGGCATGCATGCGGGATCTAGTTCCCTGACCAGGGACTGAACAAGAGCCCCCTCCTTTGGGAGTGCAGAGTCTTACCCACTGGACCACCAGGGAAGTCCCTGTCAAAATATAAATTGGTATATGGTACGCTATGCAAATTTTGTAAAATGTTTCTTTTGAGATAACAAAAGTACTCTATAGATCTTAATCATCACAAAATTGGTATATCTGGACTCTTCTTGGTGGGTAAAATTCACACTGAATTAAACCTGGAATAAAATAAATATAAAACTGAATAAAATGTAACTTTTTAATATGGAAATGTTCAGATAAAAATAAAAGCAGAGAAAACTGTCTAATGGACCCCCATGTACCCATCTCACCTAATTTCAACAATTGTTAATAGTTTGACATTCTTTTTTCATCTGTACCTTGTTCCTCATCTGTTTCTGGTATTGCATATCGAATCTCAAACACCATATTATTTATTCTGTAAATATTTCATTGTATATTGCAAATTTATATATATATATAAATTTTCATGGTACCATTATTTCACATAAAATTAGAAATAATTCCTTAGTATCATCTACTACCCAGTTTATGTTTGTTGTTCCTGATTGTCTGAAATATATCTTTTTCTAATTTGTTGTTTGAATCAGGACCAAGCAAGATGCACACGTTGCATTTGATTGATAAGACCATTAAGTCACTTTTAATCTATAATCATTCCTTTTCTCTTGTTTTTCCATGCCAATGATTTGTTGAAGAAAGTGATTACTTTGTCATGCAATTTCTTATTAGCTAGATTTATCTGATTGTATCTTCACATCATATGTCCCTTTATCTCCTCTATTTCCTGTGAACTGGTATTTAGATATAGAACAGTTAGTATATTCAGGATTTTTATATTTCTGATAGCAAGACTATTTCTTAGGAGGAGTTGTTTACTTCCCATTGCATCATATGATGTCTTTCAGGCTCACTTTTAGTGATGTTATGACTGGTCATTGGGTTTAGATGCTATCAGTCTGATCCATTCATCATAAAGTTTCCCTTTACCTTTTTTTTTTTAAAGGCTTTTTTTCTAGAGCAGTTTTAGGCTCATAGCAAAATTAAAAGGTACAGAGATTTCCCATTTACTCCCTGATCCCAATTTGCATAGCTATCACCCCTCTGGTGAAAGATGTTGCCTCTTTATAGCAACATCCCACATCAGAGTGGTACATTTGTTACAATTGATGAGCCTATACTGACACATTGTAGTCACCAAAAGTCCATAGTTCCATTAGCGTTTACTCCTGGCGTACATTCTACAGGTTTGTATAAATGTATAATGAGATGTAGCCATCATTATAGTATCAAACATAGTATTTTCACAGCCCTAAAAATCCTCTGTGTTCCACCTGTTCATCTCTCCCTCCCCTCAACCCCTAGAAACAACTGGTCTTTTTATCATCTCCATAGTTTTCCTTTTCCAGAACATTGAATAGTTGGAATCACCCAGTGTGTAACCTTTTCAGATTGGATCCCTTCACTTAGTAATAGGCTTTTAAGGTTCCTTCATGTCTTTTCATGGTTTGATAGCTCGTTTCTTTTTACCACTGAATAATGTTCCATCATCTGGGTATGTGACAGTTTATTTATCCATTCAGCTACTGAAGGCTATCCCGGTAGCTTCCAAGTTTTGGCAGTTATGAATAAAGCTGCTTTAAACATCCATGAGCAGGTTTTTGTGTGGACATAAGTTTTCAGCTCCTTTGGGTAAGTACCAAGGAGGGCAACTGCTAGATTGTATGATAAGAGTATGTTTAGTTTTGTAAGAAACTTCCAAACTGTCTTCCAAGGTGGCTGTACCATTTTACATTCCTACCACCAATGCATGAGAGTTCCTGTTACTCCACATTCTCACCAGCATGTATTAGTGTTGTCAGTGTTCTGGATTTTGGCCAATCTGATAGGTGTGTAGTAGAATCTCATTGTCGTCTTACTTTGCAATTCCCTGATGATATCTAATGTGGAGTATCTTCATGTGTTATTTGCCATTTGTATTTCTTCTTTGGTGAAGTGTCTGTTAGATCTTTGGCCCATTTTCTAATCAGGTTTTGTTTTGTTTTGTTTTTTTAATTGATGAGTTTTAAAAGTTCTTTGTATATCTTGGATAATAGTCCTTTATCAGATGTGTCTTTTGCAAATGCTTTCTGCCATTCTGTGGCTTGTCTTTTCGTTCTCTTGACAGTGTTGTTCGCAAAGCGTAAGGTTTTCATTTTAATTAAGTCAGTATATCAGTTATTTCTTTCATGGCTCGTGAAATCTCTCCTCAACGTTTTTACCAAATGCTTTTAGCAGCTACTGATGAATATTCCCCTGGTCCTCTATTTCCTTAGAGTTGCAAAATATTCACCTTCCAATTCTATTATTTCTTCTGTATTTCTTAACCTAGAATTCTGTAAGGAAGAATTTTTTTTTTATAAATTCTTTGTTTACTCTGGAATTCAATTTTTATAAGAAAGGAAGGATAAATTCTTGTTTATTTCTTTGTATTCAATTTATTATTTTCAGAATAATGAGTTGGTGCCCTAGCAACCCAGAGATATGATTAAGTTTTAAAGTATCATTATGAACTCTCTTGGGGTTTATTTATTTGATATGCTTAATCCAGTTCAGTCATTGTTTTCACTGGTGATGTCCCCTAAAGTTTGCTGCTATGTTTTCATGAACTATGCTTATATTTTCATTTTTAACTTCATTGCTTTCTGGCTCAAAATTTCCTAGGCTCGTATAATACTTTGTGCTTCAGACTGTTTTTTTGTTTGTTTGTTTGTTTGTTTTTGTTTTTTTTAAGGAGACTGGATCAGTGGGAAATGGAATTTAGAGACCATAATCTAGATGCTAGGAAGCTTACTTACTGGGTTGTTACTGCTCCTAGATCTTTGAATATTTCTTTTACAAGGGTACTGGATTTACCATAATTTTCATTGTATGCTCCTACTTTTAACTCCCAAGATTGTATATCTTTTTGCTATACAGAAAAACAGCATTAACACAATTCAGTTAAGTTTATCAGTCATTGGGTGGGGATATACTTTTTTCTAGTCACAGTTGTACAGCCTGGTATACATATTAGATTTTGGCCCTTGCTTTCAGGGAAGCACTGAGACTTACTGTTAGCATTTAATGGAATGATATGTAAGAAAATAAATTTTAATTTAATAAATCTAAAAATAAATGGATAAAATGCAGAGGTGGTACAAAAGAAGAACTGATTAATTCTGTTGGCAGATGTTTAAGGAATGCTATGCATTCCCAGGGAAAGTAACATGCTGGGTATTAAAGGAAGGATATGAGTCTAACTGGGTGTAAAAAGATGAAGGAAAGGGACTTTTAGATAGAGGAAGAAGCGTATGAAAAGATATGAAGCCAGAAAACAGGAACAACAAGTAGGTTGCTATTTGGGGCACCAAGATTGAAGTGGAGAATGACAATAGATGAGGCAAAATCAGGAAAGTATTATATGCCATGATAAAGAACCTATACGTCTCCTATAGGCAACAGGGAAATGCTGAAAATTTTTAAGTAGAAATGTGAAATGACCTAATTTGCTCCTCAGAATAATCATTCTGGCAACAGTAAAGAAAATGGATTAGGAGGGAAAATGTCAAGACAGAGAGACTAGGTCTTAGAGTGGTAAGTTCACTTTTTGAGTTTACAAACTTGCCTCTAGAATAGTACTTGGCATATAGTAGTAGGTACTCAATAATATCTGTCAGGTGAACAAAAGGTTATTGTATGAATCAAAAGAAGTTGATAAGTCTGAAGAAAAACCACATAGAAATAGAGCCTGCATTTTTGACAGTACTACTTGATTCATCTGCTTGCTTACTTAGTATTTTATCTTAAGATTTTCACAAACTAAGTAAAACAACCCAATAGAAAAATAGTCAAAAGGATATAAATGGCAAGCTCTGAAAGGGAAAACTGAGTGATGACTATATGAAAATATGCTCAACTTCTCTAATAACCAAAGAAATGCAAATACCTTTTAAATCCCATGAGGTGGAAAAATATTTAAAAGTTTACACAAAACCCAGCCTTGAGCAGGATGTTAAAGTGTTGGGATATTTACAAGCTGCTGCTGGAAGTATAAATTGGTGAAACCACTGTAGAAAGCAGGTTGACAATCAGTATTTAGTAAGTCAGAAGATGCACATGCCATTTGACTCAGCATTTCCATTTCAGTTATAAACCCTAGAGAAATGCTCACACCTATATAAAGATACATGTTCAACAATGTTCATTGCAGCATTATTGATTATACCAAAACTTTGAAAGTAACACAGATGTCTTCAGGAGAATGAATAAATTTTGATATGTGTATAACAGTATGATATTCTGCAGTGAAAATGAATAAGCCAAAGCCATATGAATAGACCTGAATAATTGTCACAAACAAAATACTGACTGAAAAAGCCTGCAAAATAATAATATAGTGGGATGCCACTTATATAAAGTTAATTATGCAAAATAATAATATTATATATATACAATAATAGATAAAAATACCAAATTTAAGAGCCTGGTTATCTCTGAGGAGGAAAAGCAAAATGGGATTAGGAAAGGTTACACAGTGGTCTTTAGCATATTTTTCTTTAAAAAAAAAGTCAGAAATAAAGCAAAATTAAAATTTAATAGGGTAGGTGATGTGTAGACAAGTGGTTTTAAAAAATTCTTTCTTATATATTTGAAATATTTCTGATGAAAAAAATCCTCTGAGAGTAGAGAATTTCAGAATTATCCTTGTTCCCAAAGTAAAATATTTTTCTAGCACCTAAATCCTTTTAACAGCTTTTTATTTTGCAGATTTGACTGATGAATTAGCTCAGAAGTTGTTTGATGCTTCAGAAATGTCTTCAGCAACAATGGCCCGTTCATTACCCACAGTAGTTCCAGAATCTCCTAGAATTTATCCTGCAAGGACACCCAAAACACCTCGAACACCTAGATTACAAGATCCAAACAAAACACCAAGATTTTATCCTGTTGTTAAAGAACCCAAAGCCATTGATGTAAAGGTACACAAAACACCAGGAATATAAAGCCTGCCGTTTGTATACTTCAACATTACAAAATGATGTTTTTTAGTTTCTTTTTTAGTTTCTATAACAATAAAAATAGTTTCTATAGTTTAGTTTAGTTTCTATAACAATAAAAGTAATGTATATTTTAGACTGCAAGAATTCATTAAAAAATGGTATTTTACCATAGCAATGTCTTCTCAGGTTAAGGAATAACTTCTTTACAATGGATAGTGTTAATTAAAGACAATCAGAAGGTGTAATGAGGAATCATTCTAAGTTGTATTTCTTTTAATCCTTGTGTTGAAACCTAGCAAAGGGTCTTGTGAAGTTTTGTAACTTGTATGTGACATATTTGAGTTTTGTGACTTCATATGATTTCATAATGTGTCACCCACCATATGAAAATGTTTGAGTTGGTTTACAGTCAGAGGGTTTTTTTAATTTACTTGGGAGGTTCACACTACTGAAGGTAATTGGAACGTTTGACTTCTTTTTCCTTAGAGTCCAAGAAAGAGAAAAACAAGACATAGTACAAATCCCCCTCTAGAGTGTCATGTTGGTTGGGTAATGGATTCCAGAGATCATGGGCCAAGAACATCCTCTGTCAGGTACCGTATTTGTCAAATATTGCTTTGTTCTTGATTTTAAATTTGTTGAAAACAGTTACTAGTTAGATATTTGGGAACATTTAAGAATTAATATGTTAGCAAATTAATAGAACAACAAAATAGTAAAAAGAAGCCAAAGAAGGGGAAATAAATGGGACAGTTTTACAATAAGTATATTAAGGAATAATTCAGTAGGACAGGCTTTTTTTTTTTTTCCTTTAAAGTAATTTTCACAAATGTATACTCTTCGATTAAAAATATTTAGGTCGGGCTTCCCTGGTGGCGCAGTGGTTGGGAGTCCGCCTGCCGATGCAGGGGACACGGGTTCGTGCCCCGGTCCGGGAAGATCCCACATGCCGCGGAGCGGCTGGGCCCGTGAGCCATGGCCGCTGAGCCTGTGCATCTGGAGCGTGTGCTCCGCAACAGGAGAGGCCACAACAGTGACAGGCCCGTATACCACCAAAAAAAAAAAAAAAAAAAATTTAGATCTATTAAAGTTATTATCTTTGGAAAGATTCCAGATTTTTCATAGCATAGTAGGTTCTTAGTGAGTTAATGTGCTAAACAATCTACTCAAAACTACGTAAAGGATATGGAAATAAAACACATTAATATTTTGGAATTTTTCCTTTGGGGGGAAATAATTTAGATTAGCTAGTTATTAGCAGTAAGTGGTTTGTCTTTTAGTTTTTAATTTAAAAAAGAAAGAGTATTATTTACCTCAGTGAAAACCTAACCTATCTTGTGTTTGTATAAATATTTTCAGAATAATTATCTGATCAGCTTTCTAATTGGAAAATGAACTTTAGGAAAAAGTATTTTTTGACTGGTTAAGGTAAGGATTAGTTAGTTTCATTCAAAGAAAATCTAGAGAGTGTATCATGATCTGAAAATCTCCAAGTATGTCTTTGCAGGGATGTTAATTTGTTTCTTTTACATTTTGTTCTCATTAGATATATTTTCCTTAAAAGATAAACTGTGTATATGTTCTTCTTGCACACCTATTGTATACGAATAGTTATTTTGTATTCTAAGTCATTTTGAGAGTTTTTTTCTTTTATTTATTTATTTTTATCAGAGCAGTATATTTAGAGATCAGTAGATAATGGTGAAAAATGTTGCACTGATATGTAGCAGGGAACAAGGCAGGTACAGTCCCTGCCTTTCTGGAGCTTAATTCAGAGATGACAGGCAAGTATGTAGTTACAATAATGAGGGGTGGATTTTGTTCGCCAGCTTGTCTTTTAGAGGAGTTGCAGCTACACAGCAGACTTGAGTGGGAGGTACACAGAGCTCCCCGTACCCTCTGCATACCCTGCCTCCCCCACTGTAAGCAGTCATATCTTTGACCATCTACATTAATGTCAGTGCTGGTAGTGTCTTAAAGTCTGTTTCTCTCATCTGTTCTTTGTTCTTTTCTCCTACTTTCTTTTGGATCAGCTTAGTTTTTGTAATGATTCTATTTTATCTCTACTATTGTCTTCTTGTTGTATCTCTTATTTTTTACTGGTCTTCTAGGGTTTATAATATACGTTTTAAAATATAATCTATTTTCAAGTAATATATCATTACACATATAGGATAAGAACGGTACTGCAGTAAAGTTCCTTTTCCTACTGTCCTTTCTGCTATATTTTATTATTATTTTTCTTTAGACAATTATCTTTTAAAACAATTAACATAAAAAAAGGAATTTTAAATGTATTCTCATTTTTACCATTTACAATGCTCTTCATTTCTTGCGTGGGTCTGTTGGCAATGAATTCTGTTAGCTTTTGTTTCTCAGGAAAAGGTTTCTTTTTTTTCATTTTGAAAGATATTTTCAATGAGCATAGAATTCTATGATGGATCTAGGTATGAATTCAGATCCACGGCTCATTCTGTTTGTAATGAATTTTAAGCATCAAAAGTGATACGGTTTAGTGAAATAATTTTCAAACTTTTTTGTCTAAGGACCTCTTTATCCTTTTAGTTATTGAGGACCTCATAGAGCTTTTGTTTATGGGAGTTATATAATTTAAAAATAAAAAATTAAACTGAATTGAGTTTAAAAGTAAAACTGAAAACAATTAAATATTTATTCATTTAAAATAATAATAAACATATTACATATTAACATAAATGACATATTTTTATGAAATATAATTACATTTCTCAAAACAAAAAAATTCCTGAATAGAGTGGCATTGTTTTAAAGTTTTGCATATTTGTTTAATGTTTTTGCTTTATATGAGATAACTGGATTCTCATATGTTTCTATATTCAATCTTATAATTTGTTTTTTTATTGTTGTTGTAGAGGAATAAAATCCAAGAAAGGGAGGAATATTTTAATAGCCTTTTCAGATAATTGTAGGTATTCTTCTTTGATATTATACCAAAGCTGAACAAGTGGTAATTTTTTAAAAGTTAATTGCAGTGTAGAATCTAAACCATATATAAGTGACCTTCTTCTACTCAGTGAATTTTTCATACTCTGTTACATTAAAAGCCATTGGACTTCTTCCAATTTGAATGGCTCTTTTTGTCTATGCATGCATTTGTAACATCATGAATTGGTCATTTGGAAAAACTGATTAACTGAGTTATGCGGACTTTTAAATGATGACACGTCAGAATACAATAAAAAAATTACATTAAAAAAATAACCACTAAGGAGAGTAATGTCAGGAAGATGGCAGAATGGGAAGGAACAGGAATCTGTCTCACCACTTGGACAACAACTGTATCAGCAGAAACTGTCTGCATTGACTATTTTGGAACTCTACAGTCTATCTGAACACTTAAAGCTTCCAGGGGAAAGCGTGTCTGGTAAATTGTTAATATTCGTTCATGTCAGCCTTTGGTGTAGTAGTGGCCATCTCCCACTGCCCCAGCCCTGTGACAGGCATTTGGGAAGATGGCAACCCACACCTCTGGTGTGGCTTGCTGGATCCAATGTAGGCAATAAGGACCTTGTCCTCCAAATATTGGAGTTCTGTGTTGACTGCTAACTGCCTCTGGTCAATAAGGTTCAGACACAGAGTCTGGTAGCCTTTGTTTCATCCCCACTGTCTGAATGTCTTTTTTTTTTTTCCCCAAAACAACCACTAATGAGGGAAATTTAGAAAATTACCACCCATGCCCAAGGAAAAATGTGGAAAAAAACCTAAGGGGACTTTAAGCTTTTACCTCAGGCTTATCCCAGCACAGAAGCAGCCTACAATAGCTGGAAAAAAACAGCAAACCCTGGGGAAGAGGGAGAATTTGATTTCCAGAGTTACCACTTTATAAGATTCAAATCTTCATTGTTCAACAAAAAAAATCACAAGGCTTACAAAGAAATAAGAAAGTATGGGCCATTTGAAGGAACAAAATTAATTGACAGAAAATGCACCTGATGAAGCCTGGGTTCCATTCTTTCAAAATGAAGTCTTTAAAACAGCTGTTTTAAGGATACTCAAAGAGCTAAATAAAGGAAGATATAGACAAAGATAGCAAAACAATGTATGAAGAAAACAAGATTATCAATAGAGATAGAAATTATACAAAGGAATCAGAAAGGAATTCTGGAGCTGAAAATACAATAACTAAAATGAAAAATACACCAGAAGGTTCAAAAGCAGATTTCATCAAACGGAAGAAAGAGGAAAGAATCAGTAGACTTAAAGATGGAACAATTTGAGTTATCAAGTCTGAGGAACAGAAAGAAAGAAGAAAAAACTAGTAGTGTCTAAGGGATCTGTAGGACACATGAACTAGCCCAATACACACATTGTGGGAATCTCAGAAGGAAAAGAGGAAAAAGGGGGCAGGAAGAATATTTGAAAGAATACTGGCTCCCAATTTGATGAAATACATGAATCTACAAATCTAATAAGCTTAATGAACTTGAAGTAGGATAAACCCAAAGAGACTCACATTAAGACACTAATTAAACTGTTGAAAACCAAAGACAAAGAGAGAATCCTGAAAGCAGCAGGAGAGAAGAGACTCATCACATACAAGAAGTCCTTAGTAAATGTATCAGGCAGTTTCTCAGAGGCCAGAAGCCAGTAGACTGATATATTCAAAGTGCTGGGGGGAAAAATCCCCATCCACTGAGAATTCCTTATCTGACAAAACTGCCCTTCAAAATTGAGGGAGACATTCAGAGATAAAGTCTGAGGGAAAAGAAAAGGAAACAAAAGATATATTGAACTAGAAAGAAGAAATAAAACTGTCTTTGTTCACAGATGACAAGATTGTATATGTAAAAAGTCATAAATAATTAACAAATCTCCTGGAACTAATAAGCAATTACATCAAGGTTTCAGGATATATGGTTAATATACAAAAGTCAATCACGTCCCTATATAACAACAATGAACTAGTAGAATTTGAAATTAATTAATCAAACTACTGTTGGACTTCCCTGGTGGCATAGTGGTTAAGAATCTGCCTGCCATTGCAGGGGACACAGGTTCAAGCCCTGGTCTGGGAAGATCCCACATGCCATGGAGCAACTAAGCCTGTGTGCCACAACTAGTGAGCCTGTGCTCTACAGCCCATGAGCCATAACTACTGAGCCTGCATGCCACAACTACTGAGCCCATGTGCCACAACTACTGAAGCCTGCGCCCCTAGAGCCATGCTCTGCAACAAAGAGAAGCCACTGCAATAAGAAGCCCACGCACCGCAACAGAGTAGCACCTGCTTGCCGCAACTAGAGAAAGCCCACGCACAGCAATGAAGACCCAATGCAGCCAAAAATAAGTAAATAAATAAAATGTTTTAAAAGAACAAAATACTATTTACATTATCACCCCCCCAAAAGAAATAGGTATAAATCTAACAAAATATGTGCAAGATCTTTATGAGGAAAACTGCAAAACTCTGATGAAAGGAATAAAAAAACTAAATAAATGGAGATAAACTCCATGTTTTGGGTAGAAGTCTCAATACTCTCAAGATCGGGCGCGAGCCGCAGCTAACAGCGTGGACCCCAGAGATGGACATGAGACGCTAAGGCTGCTGCTGCCG